AATGATGATAAACCATGGGATTTTGGGGTGGCCCCTATTTCACAGAAAACCATACTGTATCTTCAGTTGACTTCTGCTTGCCAAGTTTGCCCATTTTCTTTTGGCATTCCCGATTGCCTTTCCTTGCACAGTCGTTATAACAACATAATTTGGAGTGCCGAAAACGGTTAAAATCTAAATTAAGTTGGGATGTACTAGAAAAAACAGAATACAAAGCATTCTTTTTCAAAAACAGCTGATGGTCTAGCTTCGTAGCCGAAACACCAACAACGTTGATGCTCTTCCCAGGCCGTCTTTCTATCCGAGCGTCGTAGCCGAATTTTGGCTTGGCTTGATCTGATCCACTACACTTGGGGGTGCAGTTGAGGGTGCAAATGGATATACCCTCTGGTAATTTAACAGTTTGCTATTGAAAAATGCCCATAGAAATAGTGGATTTTCCCATTTTTACATGGTGATTTTCCATAGTTCTGTGACAGTTTACCAGAGGGTAACTATGGTGAAATAACCCCTATAAGTTGGGATATAAGCCTATAAGTTGGTCAACAAAACTATGGTGAACTCTATCCACTGATAGCTAACTACCACTGCAGTGAACCCCTGAAAAAACACAACTTTCCCGAAGGGGACCTCGGATGTCCAAAGATATTGCTAGTTCACATCCTGTTTCTGATGTTTCTGTTCTTCAAAACTCGTGTGTCGTGCATTTTAAGACTGGATTTCCATGGATTTCTGTCGTGAATCTTCCAAATTTCGAGTGAACCAGTGAAAACACTTCAACAGGAATACTAGCTCCATTCGAAAAAAATTAATAAAAGCCCCTGACCATTCAGCAAAAATGTCCCTGAATGGAGCATCTTAAAACCAGAAGTGGATTTCAAGCTGAAAAAAACCAAGCATTCTTTGCCCTTGACATCCCATGTGGAAAATGATTGAAATCCCCCCAAAAAAAGGGCCCCCAATCGATCGCTGAGTTGCTTTGAAACTCCAATAACTATGGTTTGTGATCCTTAGATATCCTTAGTTTATCGGGTTAAAAAAAAAAAAACTTCTGACTGGGGCCCAGTTCTAGCCAGTTTTTGCTCCTCCCTTCGCTTCGATCAAGGGGCGATTCTCCTGCGGTGTTCGAGAAGAGATTGAAGTTCCGACGTTGCAGCGGTCTTGTGACTGGCGATGCCGGTGCCCAAAATGGGGCCAGCGATTCAACCGATCAAGAAAAATTAGAGTCATCCAACAATACTTATACTATCTTATACTAAGTTACGTAAAATGTTGGGAGCCTTTTGATGTAAAAGGCGATTCGTTTTTTTACCGGCGCGGCCAATGGCAGCTAGGGACCGGTGGAAATCGCCTGCCAGTTGCCATGATTCGTCACAACTTTCACCACGAATCATACCGAAAAGATAAGATATATGATGACAAGAAGCTCCCATTGTTCATTCTACATAAGTTACCCAACAATGCTTCGAAGATCTCGAACTCTCAATCTTTTTGACAAGTGGGATGGTGCATGATGGTGCCAAAGACAACCATGGAATCACGGCTCGATTCCAAAGCTGGACGAGTTGATGATCAAACTGTGGGTTTGATAAAGCTAAAGTACCGCAGTCAAACATGGGTCATGACTGATGTCCCCATTGAACATCACCCAACCATTAGGTATATGGTCTATACTGGCTACTATAAGGTGATGTCCAATCTTCCCAAAATGGGACATTTACCAACCCCTGTCAAAGGATTTTGAAGAATCAAAAGTACCCTGGGCCAAGGTCCTTGGAAAATTCTTTTAGAAATTCTGAAAAATCCAGTTTGAAAATCCTCTAGATTTTCCGGCCAAGCCAGTATTTAGAGGATCATCCCACTTAGGGGCCCAGTGGTGAAAATGTTAGCCTGGTAAAAATGAGTAAGTTCTCCCAACTCGGATTATATATAAGTAATTACTAGGGAGAATTAATAAGTTAATTACCCAACTAGTTAAATTATATATACCATTTATAAGTGGGTCCTTACTGAATGGGATGATCCTCCAAGAAAAAAGAGTGTCCCGCCTGTCCATCAGCGTACCGTCGGCAACTGCAGTGTTTAGCAATGCCAACGCGATGAATGTCACAATTTTGTTGTGGCTGTGTCTGTTTTGAAATGTCATAGATGATATATATCATCATTATTTATTATATATGTTTAATGTTAAATGATTTAAATGTGTTGAAATTCTTCAGTAGTTGAAGCAGTGGAGTGTTGGTACTGGTGCCAAAAAAAGGTCGCGTTGCTGGTCGCGCGAGTGACAGATCCGCCGTCAGGTTCTCACGACGGGATCCATCAACACGACCTCGGTCGAAAGGTTGAATTTTCAGGGGAGCCATGATGGGCTTCAAAAATAAGGTGAATCCTAAACTTCCTAAACTTCCTAAACAATCTATGTCCAGAAATGGAGGCCCATCTTGATGATTCTTGATTTCCTGTCAGTTGCTCAAAATCTTCCAGTGTTCCAGAACTCAAAATGGGCCTTTGTCACCAGGCTTTACAAGGTGTTTCACACCCAACTACCAGGCTGATATTTGAAAATGTTCATGGGTAAAACTTCCCGTGGCTTGAAGACATGCTTCTTACAATCTCCAGTTTTGAAACTTCTATCATTTTGCGGCCAGTGCATATGGCTTTTGTAAATGCCGGTTTCTCTCTGTCTCCACCGAAAATGGACCCTGAAATGCCGACAAGGAACTGAGTGTATTTCTGAAAAGCGCCCAGCAAAGCCCAAACAGCAGCGTCGTGTCGGTCGTTTTGGGCATCGAAACTGCCGTGCCAAGTGCCAATGTCTTCGTCAGAATTGGCCCAGTTGAGCCAGTGATAAATGGCATACATTGGGATAATAATATACCCGGGTGATACATCTGGGTAAATGAAATCATATTTCACAAAGCTGAATCTTGCGGCCATTTGGGGATGATTTCCCAACAATTAACCATGATTCCCAGGGTTCGGTCGCAGTGAGGTCGTGATGAAATTTACCCAGATACATAGTTTTTAAACACCGAGCCATCAAGTCCTGGGAATTCCAGAACCGGACTTTCCCGGGTTTCAGTCGAGTTACTGGAGAGAGTCGACTAAGTCATGAACATCATTGGGGCAAAAGGAGCTATGGCTGTTGAATCACCGATGGATTTCGGGTTGCGATGATATTTTTTGTATCCCCAAGAGTGGTTGGTTCAGTGTCTCCACTAGTTCGATAGATGGTGACTAGATTGATTTTTGAATATCCGCAGCATGCAACATGGATATGGAAATTCCACCAATGATTTTTCATCTAAGAAAAACCATATTTTTGTTGTTTTCCATATCGTGAAAATTTGCCGGAGGGTATCTCCATGGAGCTCCCATTATGAATTGGCGCTCCATGCGTGATGACGCCTGACATTCCAGTCGTTTTCAGCGAACACTGCACCAGGATGGTGCCAGGGCCCAGGAATGGAGAGCTACATTTCATCATCCCACCATGAGATTCCAACAATTTGCTTGGTATATTAACCCCATGACAAATTCGGACTTTTATGGCAATATAATCCAACTCTTGACCATGGCACATAATATATTATACATTATCTATTATCTATTATCTATTATATATTATATTATATATTATATATATTATATATTATATAGTATAAATTATATATTATAAATTATATATTATATAGTATATATTATATAGTATATTATATATATTATATGTTATATATTATATATTATATGTTATATATTATATTATATATATTATATTATATTATATATTACATATCATATATTATATATTATATATTATATATTATATATATTATATTATATTATATTATATTATATGATATTATATTATATTATTATATTATTATATTGTTATATTACTATATTATATTATTATATTATTATATTATTATATTATTATATTATTATATTATTATATTATCATATTATTTTATTATTATATTATTATTTTATTATATTATTATATTATTATATATGTTACTATATATATATTATATTACTATATTATATTATTATATTATTATATTATTATATTATTATATTGTTATATTATTATATTATTATATTATTATATTATTATATTATTATATTATTATATTATTATACTCTTATATTATTATATTATTATATATGTTATTATATATAAATATATTATATTATTATATATAATATAATGTAATATATTATATTATGTTATTTTATGTTGTATTGTACTATATTATATTATATTATATTATACTATATTGTATTATATATTATATTATATTATATATTCTATTCTATTCTATTCTATTATATTATACTATATTGTATTATATATTATATTATATTATATATTCTATTCTATTCTATTCTATTCTATTATATTATATTATATTATATTATTTTATATTATATAGTCTATTATATTATATATTCTGTTATATTATTTTATATTATATTATATTATATTATATATACTATTGCATTTTATATTATATTATATTATATTATATATTATATATTATATATTATATATTATATATCATATATTATATATTATATATTATTTTATATTTTATATATTATATTATATTACATTACATTGCATTTTATGATATCATATCAAATTATATTATATATATATATTAGATAAATATTAGATATATATTATATAATATATATCTATATTACATAACAATATATATATATAAGCACGTCGCCCTGCACTTTTTCACTGCTTGTGAGGGGTTCCATCGCCAACGGCTGTAAAATAGCCAAAACCAAAAGTTGGCACCTTCATCCACCCAGGCCAGGACATTGCCATAAGGGCGGGATAGTAAGGGCCGGGGGAGCTTGAGGGTGAAAGTTTCAGTTCCATGCTTGACATCAAGCACGTCGCCCTGCACTTTTTCACTGCTTGTGAGGGGTTCCATCGCCAACGGCTGTAAAATAGCCAAAAGTTGGCACCTTCATCCATGCTATCCCCTTTCCTCCCCATGCTCCTCATTGTCACTGGCCTGGAAGAGTCGCCACCATGTCTGTGGGGGAATTGCTGAGTTCAGGAAATCTGACGCGCAGTCAAGCAGCCTTGGAAAGTTTCCTGCAAGCTGCGTTACTTTGACTCGCGTTTTCCAATCCAGTTTTTCAGCAAAGGTCGTATATAAAATCTCCTGCAAATAGATCTCCATCACTTTCCCTGTGACCCAACGACCTCTGCGTCTGACCAGCTCTGAGTCTTCGGTCGTCAGCAACAGGTGGGTTGCACCACCAGGACGGAGCGATCCTAGGTCAAAAGGGCGACGCCCATTGATCTTTGTTGTTTGCAGGCCCAAACCAGATAAAAGATTGCTGAATCTCTTCCTCAGAGTTGATGCGGAAAAAGGCCACAGCAAACTGGTCGGCGGGGCCTTCGCATACACAGCTGTCAAGAGTTTCAGGATATCTGGAGGGTCGATGCGTGCTGCTTGGTGTCGGGCTGCACGTCCCCTAGTTTTAGGGGTTTTTATCCTCAACAATCCAAAAGTCACACCAGGAGCTGAGTCACATGGGAGTATGAGGTCACAACGTTGCGCAATCAGGACCTCACCTATTCTGCAAATTCCACACCAGGTTAAGCTCAAAACTGCTGCTTCAAGCGGCCAACCCCACATCAAAGCCAATGCAAGCATTGCCAATAAGATGGACAGTGGAAGTGCAGGATGGTGTTCACTTGGCTCATCCGTCAGCCAAGCGAAAGCTGGGTCCCAAGCACCTGCCAGTTGTTTCCTCACTACCGGACGCGCTGCTGACACTGCATTGATGGTCTCGGCGAACTTTCCGTATGCCTTCCCTGACAGATACATTTCCTGACCATAGCTGATGAGCCACTTGCATATCTCTTCAGCATCAGGAGGTTTTGCAGTCAGAAGCAAGGAAAGATGTACCTTGTGTTGATCATGCAGCCAAACTCTGAAATCAGTCAGCAGCTTTTCACGTCGCTCCAAAGTGTCATGCCTAGCAACCCTGGTGGCAATCAAATTGTTTCCAGATCTTCGCTCAGCTCGTCCTCTTTCCAAAGCAGTCTGCGGAGCCATGGCATCAGCTACCCAAAATCCACAAATCAAAATCCACAACAGCCTACCGGGGGCACCCTTAACACTGGGACAACCTCTACCAAAAGAACCTCGCAGGCCCACAGAACCGCAAGATGCCAGGAAAATGGTCACAAGTCCAATGCAAAGAGTCCAAAGGAGATACGGCTGGGGGGAAGAGATGTTGAAGCTGGGCAAAGCAGGCAAATCAATGCTTGGAGGCTCGAAGTCAAGTAGAGCGACAAGGAAGACCCGGAGGAGGGAGCCGGCTGAAGCAAGGTCAGAAATCCAGTTGGGCTTTTGGTCAGGCAGTAGAGTGCTTGTAGCTTCCGATGGAGACTGGCAGATAATCAGGAGGATGACCAGGCGAGACCAGTTTGCTGCCCATCGCGAGAGGAGATGGGAATGGACTGCCTGAAGCTGGGCTGCTGAAAGCTTTTTGGTGATGCAAAGAAGGGATGGGCTCCTAAGGGCACATCGCCTAGTTGGGTCATCTGCTACGTTCAGCCTTGTTGGGGCAAAACACCAACCAGGGTAAAGTCCAAAAGCCAACTGAATTGCAGCACTCTTCTTGCATGTCTTTTGAAGCCCAGTGGAAGAGCTGCGCCCTTTCGCCAAAGCTCCTTTTGCAACCCGGGAGTCTAGGAGCCCAAGGCATCTGCTGTCTGGAAGGTCAGCAGCAGCTGCTGTCAGAACTCCAAGGCCAGCATGCGCCTCCAAGATGTTTATGTGGCTCTTTCTCTTCCAGTGCCACTTCTTTTCAGTCCGCCATGTTGAAGATTGCAAGATGTCATTGACGGCGATGCTTTCATGGCCGCTCACATCTATTTCCTCTTCCTCCTCAAGTAATTTCAACCTTCTCAGGGCCCTCGCAAACTCTTCCGCCAGGTGTCTGGCCAGTGGCCACGTATATACTGCCGACCCCTTCTGTGAGGCTGCCTTCAATCTTCACATGCTCATGACCTCCAGGGCAGCGCCTCTCGAGTCTTTGAGCGCAGAGCATGTAGAGGAGGAAGCGAAACTCCTTCTTGTGGATGGATTCAAATTGGCAGCTGGCAATGACTGCTTCCTCAAACCCCAACTTCAACATGGCTTTCCAAGCAGCCATCCATGCCATCTTTGACAACCTTGGTTGCTCCTTTCCGCAGGGGCGTCTGAATCTCCTTCCATGCCGCAACAAAACAAAAGACCTGAAAGCAAGCTGGTTTCCAAGCCGGGTCTTGGGGCACAGGCGATTGAAACCTTCCGGCTGAGAGTATGATCGCACGGCTGGATGGGCTGCTGGGCTGAAGCTGGTGCAGGGTGGTTCCGTCAAGAAACTCCTGAAACGCCCTTCTTCAATCATATACAAACACCATTCCAGCAAGCGGCTGTCTGTCATGTTGTAATGCTTTGAGGCTGACAAGTCAAGGCAAGGGGCCACTGTGAAGCCAAGATCCTTCATGCATGCTGAAACTCTTCCAGAGCCCCCGAAGAACTCCACAAAATCAAAGTAAAGCAAGAGCCCCTTCTTCGGGTGTTCAGGTGGCCCAAAGTCAAAACCCTCGTGGACCTCTTCACCTGCGGCCGCAAGAAGAGCCAGATTTGGGCCATCTAAACGGGTGTAGCAGCCACGTTTGTCGCTTCCCAACCAAAGCGTCTCGACTACCTCTGGTTCAGCTTTTGTGGCAACAACAGCTCCTAGGCCCAAAGAGGCATCAGAGGCATAGATTTTTGGGTTGTACTTCACCGCAACATTTGAAACTGCCAGTGGAGCCAAAGCGGCCAAAATACTCAACTCTTGGGCAATACCTCTCTGCAAAGGAAACGCAACATTTGAGCCACACTTCTCAGCCTCTGACCCCAACTTGAAAAATCCATCAACTGCCGAAGTCATGCACCTACGATATAGCAACACAGAGGTCCAGCTTCCTGCCAATCGAGCCGCAAGCTTTGGAGTGATAGAGCCCAAACGTGCAGCCCGCAGAGAGAGCGTTGAAAGTGCTATTCTCTTGGCCAACGGGGCTGCCACTGTTGTAAGGCCAGCTGCAACAGCCTCATCACTCGAGATGATTTCGGCTCCTGCTGCTTTGAACACCTTCTGGGCCTCAACATCCTTCTCCGGGGAACCTTCAAGACCAGCCTTATCGTAGACTTCTCTTGCTCTTGCCAACGCTGTTGCAGCAAACGAGTTCAAGGAACTTGTTCCGACAGGCTCACACCCAATGGCAAAATAGTCATCGATGATGAGGCCCTCAAACTTCTTTCCAAGGGGGAAGTGGAATGCCCCTTCAGACGCTGGCTGTCTCTCAGTAGCCCTCCTTGCTGAAGGACTTCTTCATGCGCTTTCAAAGCAAATTCAACTCCCAGGTGATCACCTTGAAAAAGTGATGCAAAGCAGGGGAACCATTCGCCATCCTTTCTCTGCGGCTGCTGGTCACCAAATTTTTCCTCAAAGCCATCGCCTACTTGCTCCCTGCCAGCTTTTGTCTGTTTCTGCACCTGCACCTCCTTGAAAGCATGAAAATCCTTGAGAGCCGCACCATCATAGGAGAAGAAGAGCATATTGCTACGGGCACGTTCCTCAGAGACTTTGGCTTGGTGGTAAAAGTCACGACGATCCGTCACGGAACCTATGAGCTGCTCTTCATACGGCTCAGTGCGCAAATTGGCCAGCATGAACCCTGGTGGCAAAAAGTGTGAGGGTCCATCTATCGACAGTTCTCTGGAGTTTGGGATGCGGCGGTCACCAATCTGGCGGTCTGTGGTCTCATTCTTAAAGGCATTGAAGACCTTTGAGAAGTGGTCTCGCTGAATGGGCTCCTTTGCAAGTCTTAGGAGTCCTTTTGCATCCCAAAGTGCGGCCAAACGCAAGTTCTCATCCTTGTCTTCAGATTTGAAAGATGGCCAGACCTGGAAATCATCTGGCTTCCCATGCAAAAGAAAACGCGGTTCTTGAAAAGGAAGCCATAGCGGCCCACTGAGAAAATCTGCCATAGGCCACGCTCCAGTTCCTACCAATTTCAATCTATTTGCCTTCAGTGACTTGTAGGGCGCAAGCTCAGGGAACTCTGCTGTGGGCAGGAGCTGCGGGTCCTCACTGAAGGTCACTGGCTTGTGCTGAACGTAACTTTGGCTCAGCTCTGGATGGTTCTCCAGGAACTTCTCCAGTTGAAACAAACATGCACCCAATTCAGGCCCTGAGCGGCCTGGGACAGCATCAAAGCTTTCGGAGCCGTCCCCACACACAGCAACAAGCGACCATAGCCTATCATAGACCTTTTGCTGCAAAACATTGGGTCGCCTCTCAAGCTCTGACAAGGTAGGGAATCTGCCGAGGTAGAAAAAGTCCAAAATGAAAACGATCACATGAAGCAATCTTCTCCTCGCAACATCTAACTTTCCTCTGCCCTTGAACCTGAGGCCTCCGCTGTTGAAACACCCGGGAAATGGCGCAGGCAGAGGGAATGCTGTGGTTGGCGAAGCTGGTTGTGCCCGCCATTCTGCAGTGAAAGAGCGCCAGAGATGCCAAGAAAACTTTGTACGGCATCTCATCAACCACCTAGGCAGGCAAAATGCCCAAGTGCAAAAATCAATTTTGGAAGACAGAGGATTTGTCTCCTGCCCCTCTGCTTCATGAATTCTATCTCCATTCATGCCATGTGCCGCTGTACTTAGGCTTCTGCCTCCTCTGCTTTGTCTGTACCTTTCCCTTTTCCCTTGCGCTTTGGGGCTCCCTTTGGCTTTGCTTTGGGAGCTGCTACAGATGCTTCTGATGTAGTCTCGAAAGACCCCTTTGGACCTGCACTCATCTCTGCCCTTTTCGCTGCTATGACCTCCATTTCTGTCAGAAAAGCCAGTGCACAGGTGACCCATCGTTGGTCGGCTAAAGGCGCGAAGGACTTCGCCCTCGACGTCGATGCCAGCTGTCTCTGCATGAAAATGCTCGAGGGTGGGTCCTCTTGCAAACATAAAAGTGTTGCTAGTTCCATTCGTCCCCCGTCCAAACTGGCCTGTTCCAGTGTCACTGCTAAAAGGGCAACTCCGTCCATCGCCGCAGGGATGTTCTCGGCCATGAGAAAATCGAAGATCATCATCACCTGATACTGCAACTGGCCAAGGTCGCGGGTGCGACCGTAGCCTCCAAATCTTTCCAGGTATCTGACCCCAGAGATCCCGCGCTGCAGCATCTCTTCCGCTGTCAACGTAGCACTGGACGTCGGGGCCATCCGCCTGCACATGCTCTGCATAACACTTTGGAAGAAACTGCCCTTGTGTTGAGCTAACTCTGCTTGGAGGCGGACTCGTGTTGCAGCACCTCGAGTTCCCGATCCCATTGATGCTCCTGTGAGCTCTGACATCGGATCGCTGCTTGCTCCTGCTATCTGCGCCACCAACGTTGTCAGAGCCTGGCTCTGGGCAAGGACTGCTTTTGCTAGGGCAGAATCGGAAGTCTGGCCAGATGTCTGATCTTCTGCCTGCTTCTCTGACTCCAATTCCACCAAGTCCGCTGGTTTTGCCATAGATGGGGAAGCCAACAAACCAAGGTTCTGCTTGCTCTGGGTTCTTGGAGGAGGCATTAGAGATCTGGCAAGGTCTGAAATTGGAGGCGGAGGAATGGCAAGAGATTGAGAGAGGGTCTGGCCAAGAGCTGGTGCTGATGTCTTGCTGGGCACGGCAATTCTTTGTTCCAAGACGCTCTGTCTTGCTGAAATCTCGGTGAGCTGCTTGGAGATTGTCGGCAGGACATCCATGAGGCCCTTCATGTCTGCTGCCAGTGAGGTTGTTGTGACCCTCTTTGGCCTTGCTCCACCTACGGAAGGAGAAGCCTTTCCGGGCGCTCTTCTTTTGGGCTGCGGCCCAGCAGGCAGAGGTTCTTCTTCTTCTTCCTCTGCTGGCGTATAAAAGGCTGCTCTGGTCTCTGCTGACTGGGCAACCCACTCGCGAATCCTGGGGAGCAGCGAGTCGATGCTGGGGAAGGCATAGGGGGAATCTTCGTCGAAATTGTAAATGATCTCTTCTTGATGATAAAAATGCCGCATGGACCTCAGAATGTCGCTCTTGCAGTCTATGACCATTGCGTCCACCTCCTCTCCAGTTGGCGAAAAGATGCCGCCCTCGTAGATCACTGCAGGGACCCTGACAACAAAGGAAGGCCCGAGAACTCCATCTTCGGTTTCTGCATTTCCACCATCTACTTGATCCTGAGGCAAAAACAGAGCTGGCATAGCAAGTAGGACTCCCCCTTCTCGCTTCATAACTGCAAGCACTGTAGCTTCCGCCTCCCCATCCTCCTCTTCTCCAACACGCCAGGTGAGCACATAGGGCTCTATGGCGTCGACAGCAACTGTAACTGTGTCCAGGCTGAGGCCCGTGTCGAGGGTATCCATGATGTTCAGGCCAGAGTGTCAAACTCCGTGATGCTTGCGCCAGCAAAGTAGGCTTTTGATTCCAACTCAGAAGGGAATCCGTGAGTGATGCCACCAACGATTCCCCAATAGGTCCCGGAGGACCGGCAAAGGGTCGGGGTTGTGATACCACGGGCCCGGACCACTGCGAAGAAGCGAGGACGGAGGTCCAACTGAGGAGTACGATTTGGAGAGCGAATTCTGCCAACCTCCCCCGCCTTCGCCCACTGTCCTGCTTTCCACGCCCTCTTGATTCTTTCCTCTCCTGACAAGGAAGAGCCTGAGAGCCTCGACGAGGCGTCAAGGAGTCTTGTAGGGCAGATGTCAAAGGTGGCCTCAATTTCTGCACGTGTCTCTTCACGAGGAGCAGGCAGAGAAGTTGGAGCAGCAGAGACACTCCTAGAGGATACCAAGTCAAAAGATCCCTCAGAGTCACGAGGAGATGAAGGGCGAGGATAACCACCACCAAGACCCAAGATTTGCTGAAGCAGATTTGTGGCCTGAGCCGGAGGTCCACAAATGGTGACCTTGGATTCCCCCACCGTGCACATCCACGTACCCAGCGAGAGCTGAGTGACGAGGTTGGGAAGGGGAGGACTGAGAAGGACGCTCGGGGACGGCAGAGCAAGAAGGTGAGTTGAAGTAAGACCAAACAGTCCAAAGTCCAAAAGTGGCCAGGCAAAGTCCAAGGAATAGGCCAAGGATGAAAGTCAGGACCAGGAGGGACAGGCTTGGTTCCTGACAATAGGAAGGACACCCCCAGCCGTACCAATTGTTCCTGGCACCTTGCAAGACAACTGGCACCACCTTCAACAAACCTTCGAGCATGAAAGGAGCTTGAGGGTGAAAGTTACAGTTCCATGCTTGACATCATATATTAGATATATTAGATATATAGATAAATATCTGTATATAAATATTTTCATTTATATTATATTACATCTTATTTTATGTTATATATATATATATTGTATTTATATATTACATATATTATGTTATGTATTATAAATTATATTATATATTAGATTAGATATTATATTATATATACACAACATATCCCATGTACAGCTGAATTGTAACCACTATCGACTATCGCTCATTCTCAAACTTCCAAACTCTTGGCAGGTTCCTCCCATTGACCCACTTGTAGAGGGTAGTTCAAGTGTTGCGAACTCTCGTGAATGAAGCAGTCCTTGTGTACCGCTTTAAAATCAATTCCAGTTTCCTGGTGGAATTTGTTGTTTCTTGAGAAATTTGAGTGTGTGTTTTTTTTGATATAAAACCACTTTTTCGTGAAAAAAAACGTTTTTTTTTGCAGTTGTTTTTTTTGCCAAAATATGATTTTCTCTGGTGGAAAAAAAAATATACTTGAAAGAAATCTGGATCTCCCCCATTTCTCTGCCCATTTATCGGGTGAAAACGCAGATATCATTCTTTGGGGGTGAAAGTTCCATGCCCATGGCAGCCCCGTGGTCACCCCAAGGCTCGTCGTTGAACTTACTACGATCTGCTCTGCCAGCCTGAAACGGTGGGAAAAGGATGAAACTGAGGCAAAACCTTCACGAAAAAACGGTATGATATACCCTCTGGTAAACTAACGTAACTATGGAAAGATCCACCATGCTATTAATGGGTAAATCCACTATTTCGACTGGGCCATTTTCAATAGCTATGCCACAAATTACCAGAGGGTAACCCTCCAAAACAGTTATTTTTCAACACAGCATCCGAAATGGGTAGACAATCCCAACCGAGTATGATGAATTCAGGGCACCGAAAAAATGGTTTCGTGGGATACCCTAAGATGCTTGTTCTAACAGCTGAAAATTGCCCATTTAGTTCCTTGATTTACCTCAAAGTATTGGATTTTCCATCATGTTAACTTTCCAGAGGGTAACATCATTCATAAATTGGACATCTACGGACTACGGTTTTTGGGCCTGGTCAATCTCCTGCAGTCGATCATCAAAACCCTTGCTCACATGGACCGTAAGTGGTAATACCCTGCAGTAAGTGAAAACCATGGTTACCGGTATCCCGTTTACAAGTGGCTAAAGTAACCTGCTGTCACACTCACCACATACAATCCATGGGATGGTTCTCCACTTCAGAATGTCACCCAACGTGACGTCTTATGATTTCTTGCAATCTGTTTGAAGGTATCACAGTGTCATTTTTGAAAAATACGCATTGGATCGCATTGGTGCTTTGAATCATCCCATCTGGGACGGCATGATTGAAACCACCACCAACAACCAGTTGTTGGTAAACACTACCCCCATGTTGATCATCCCAAGTTTGTTCACAAAATCCCAATGAATTGCCGGTAATGTGCTAAACCCATAGTAAACAATCATCCCATTACTAGGGGTATACCCAATTTCATAAACCCCAATTAGGGACAATTCATGCCTAGGTCTCCCTGAGTAATACTGGTAGGATGTCTTCTCCACGTTTAGGATAGGGATGTGCTTGGTTAAATCCTCAATGACAGGGGTATAATGGTAGAACTCGGATAATGAGATCATGATGTAAAAATCCATGTATCTAAATGTAAATGTGAAAGTAAATGTATATAAATGTAAATGTTAATGTAAAAAAATGTGTATATATATAATACATATAAATATATATAAATAATTATAAATACATATAAATATAAATAAGTATATATATATATTTATAATGTCCATGTCTACAACGCAAAGTTCACCCATTGACAATGGCGATGGTTTCAACATTAGTGTCATTCGCAAGAAGCGACTTCCGCCACTTCCGCCTGACTGGTGAAGTAACGATGCTCTCCGGTTGATGGTGTCCAATGACGCCTGGGCACTGAGGACCATCAATGTTTGGGACCCGGGTCCAATCTGGATTCTGTTTCTCGACCCTTTTGGAAAAAACCATGGGGAATTTGTTGGTCCAAGCCATTGAAAACTATGGAAAATCACCAGATCCACCATTTTTAATGGGTAAATCCACGAAATAAATGGTTATTTTCCATAGCTATGTTAGTTTACCAGAGGGCATGTTGTATGTAAATGTCTGAAACATCATCCATTTTTCCTATGGAATTTGAATATCAGTGGGGAATAATAATCTGAGGGTTTCTTGTCCCAGTTTCCAATGGTTCATAAAATGATGTTCCCCAGCATTAAATGGTTGTTTCAAGGTTTCCTCCGTCAATTTTGGATAAACCATAAACTTGGATATGAATTGGTTGTATGCAAAAAACCTTTCCATTATGACTAATCGGCTAATAGTTGCGTATGATATTAATCAGTACCCTTCCGACCTTGGCCATATACCATATAGTGTTGTTATATGGATTTGTAATGCCTACATGACCACGTTTTGTACAAGAACAAAAACAATGTGACCAGTTTTTTGTGCTGCACGCTCAAAAGTTGGTTTGTCCCAAATTGGCATATACAAAAAAAAATGACTTACAGGGAATATGGAGGTTCCCATAAATGTTCAAACACACCCACAGAGTATGGTTGGCAAAGCAGAAAAAAAACAAAATACCTACATCCCGATATTATGGTTGGTACTGTGGATGCTTGCGAAATACTGCACCACCAACCTGATAGTTATTTTCAACCCCGTATTTTTTTGGGAACAACCTACACCCAGTATCAACTGGTGCAATTTTTTTTCCATTCACTGTCTCGTTGTATCGATTCTCTGTGACCGATTTGCGGATCAACCCAACTGGTTCCCATCTGAGTGTGGCACGACGTCGGCGCCATACGGTGAAAAACTGGACGGCTGTGACACGTCGTAGATGCGCTGTTTCCGCGGTACAATAGGCATATCAATGGATATCTAATGTTAATCCCATGCGATAGTCTTCAGTTTGTTTGACGATTGGGTTTTCGTTTAGTGTTAACCGCCATTTGAATTTTGAGAAAATGTTGATCCACACAGACTGTTCCCTCAGATGATCCTGAAGTGATGGGTTCCGTTCTGTGTTCACATCCCAAATCACATTCGGAACCACGCTGCCATGACATCAACATCAAAAAATGGACCGGGTAGCGTGTGCGTATCTAAAATTTATGAATGATACACAAGTTGTTTGACGTTTACGAATGGAAAAAATTATGCAATTTCCGTACATTGTCGCCAAATCACTCCATCAATCTGTTCAAATATGTTCAAATCTATAACAATTTTAAGTTTGACCAAAAAACTCCAAACACACTTTTTGGCTCGGGGGAAGCGCCAAACAAAATCGATTTCCAGGAGGATTTTGCCAAAGAAGTGCTCAAAATGGCTCAAAAATTCAAAAGCTGGGCGGGTGCAGTTTCCCACAAACAGTGTGGCCACATTTGAGGTTCTTACACCAATAGTTAAGGTCTGGTGTTTATTCAAGGTGGTCTCGGGCGGGCCCGGCGCAAATTTGGAGACCCTTACAGCACGGATGTTCCGCTGTCAAGTGCTAATGTGCATTTCGACTGCGCAAACTCGCTCAAAATGGTTGGCGCTACTTTTACCACTGCACTTCGCTCGTTTTTTGAGTTAAGTTATGTCCACTTTTTGTGGGAAACCTGGGACACGCGAGGCATTCGAAGGTCCAGAACGTCGTTCTGCGTGACAGGCGCAGGACATCGGACACAGTTTCATCTGCGTGGCAGGCGCGGCACTTTTTGCACGTTGTTAAAACGTTGGCAGGCGGGGGTCGACATGAAAGGTGTTTTCGGAGCCATTTTTCGTTGCAGGCGCACTGTTTGGTGAATTTGGACGACGTTTCGAAATGGTCAAAATTTTCGTTTTGTGAAACTGTGAAACGGTTGTGATTTGTCTGGCTTTGTATGCTGGCCGCAACTGAAACGGACAAGCAATCTTTTCTGCAAAAGGGGGCCCATGCTGACTAGCTACCTTGGCTAGGCTCTGGGTCTGGCCTAGGAAGCGCTGGGATGGGACAAGAGAACTGTTTACAGTTGGGTGGGCGCTTCACATCTAAATTGAAACAGCGGCACCCACCTCGCCCTCCCTTGAGAGAGAAAAACTTCGGATCAAACGTTGTGACCCGGAATGAAAAGTCCTTAGCCTACCAGCAAGACTATTCGATCACTAAAGTGAGCTACATCGTCTGGCTTTGTATGCTGGCCACAACTGAAACGGACAAGCAATCTTTTCTGCAAAAGGGGGCCGATGCTGACTGGCTACCCCCACTTTGTTCAGCTGGCCACCTGCAAGTTCTTCAACAAGTTGTTGAACCACATCACTGCTGCCGCAGATTCATTGGTGGCTTCTGCAAGAAGAGGATGTGGAACATTCCTGGAAGGGAAGTCACTGATATTCGCTTCAGTGGGTACTCAAGCGTACCAAGCGCACAAGTTGTTAACTGCCTCGCGCTCCAAATGGTATCTCATCAGTGCTGAGGCAGGTTTGCTCAAGCATGTTCCACGTATCAAGGAAAAACGCACTCCATCATTGTCACCGTAACAGACTTGCAGTCCGTTCACCATCCTGTCCGCCCAAAAGTCAAGTGCTAAAACTGCTGCAGCCAGTTCCAATTCGTAGATGATAGTCTGCTTATCAC